AGCCCCCGCCCCGCCCGGTGGCCCCGCCCCGCCGGTCTCGCCGTCTGTGATCGCTGTCACCGCCGCCACCAACCCTGAGCGCCGTGGGCCGCCGAGGAAATGGTGGGGCTCTGGCTGGGGCTGGTCGGACAGAAGCTGCTGCTCTGGGGCGCAGCGAGCGCCGTGTCCCTCGCCGGGGCCACTCTGATCCTGAACATCCTGCAAATGGTGGCGAGTTACGCACGGAAATGGCATCAGATGAGGCCCATCCCGACCATCGCCCGTGCCTACCCCTTAGTGGGACACGCGCTGATGATGAAGCCGGACGGGAGAGGTAAGGGCTCGCGCGGGAGGCGGTCCTCCACCCGAGGGCCGGGGGTCCCTGTCCGCGCCGCCGCGCTCAGCGGGACCTGCTCCTGGACCCCAGTCCGGGTATTGGCGCTGCCCTTCTGCGGTCTTAAGAGTCTGGAACCTCAGGGTTGGACGCAGGCCGCAAGAATTTGTCAGTTGCTAGGGAATGGATTTTCAGTTACATCAGTTTCCTTTTGACAACTGCTAAAATCGCTGGAGGCCTCCCGCCCCGTCCCATAATGAATATCTTCGTGAATAACACCGAAAGAAGTATTTCCAAACTCCTGTGCTGCTTTTTCTTTCCCCCACCCCCCTTTTTCCCTCACTTCCCAGTGGCTCAGGTCTCAAAACCCAAGTCTTTTCTCCTCTCTCAGCTCAAAGCCAGGAAACTCCCCTGGAGCACAGCAGATCCCCAGACCGCCCCACCTCTCTCCCTTCCACTTTGGAAAATAAGACATTAAAGGTTCATGTGAGGGGACCAGCAGTTAGTGTAATGGCTTTGTCGCTGGACTCCCATGTAGTCGCCCGCGGTTCGCGTCCTAGACCCGGTGGCTTAAACTCACTCCGGCTTAAACTCACTCCGGGCGCGTGTGCGTGCGTGCCCAAGATCCTGAGAGGAGAATAGAGGAGAAGGGATTGTGGTGTGGCCATCCCGCTTGGGGGGGTGATTTCTCGCTTTCTGTCTCTCTGTCTCTCTCTCTCTGGCGAGCTCACACCCTCTGGAGACTTCATCACTACGTTTGTTCCTTCCTGACTGTCATATTTTAGCCCTTTGTAAAGGGAGGCTGTGCAGTAACAATCGATAAAGTATGATGAGCAGGCCTTCAAACTCAGGTGGTAAGGTTGTCCTATTTATTGAAAATTGAATTTTTAAAAATTAAAATCATCTTAAAAGAGATAGACAGGTTACGTTTTGTTGATGAAAAAAATCACAAGTTAGAAAGCTCTCAGAAGTATCTGGTATTTGCATTCACCCAGCCAGGAGGATTGTGGATCTAAGTGGGGATACACAGAGCTAAAAAGATTTGCCTCTCACCAGGTGTGTGTGAATGTGTATCCTAAATCCTGAGAGGAGAATGGAGAATGGACTGTGGAGTGGCCATTACCCTGGGGGTGGAGGTGGGAGTGGGGGTTGATTTCTTGCTTTCAAGTCTTTCTTCTCTCTGCTCCTCTGGTGAGCACACATGCCCCAAAGTAAAAATTTCTCTAAAATAAAAAGGTTCCTCACCAGAACTTAGTCCCCCCCCTACTTAGATTACTTGTTAATAAGAGTTGTATAATCTGAGCATTAATTTCCAAAGCTTGAAAGATGATTTTATTTTTATTATTTATTTATTTATTTATTTTATTTTCGAAAACAATGCTGTAATTTCAACTGCACAGGAATAAGGTAAAGTCTCATAGGAGAGTGTTTAGAAAATAACGAAAATATTTTCTTGTAGAAGAAATCCAAGTGAACTTTTTAGCAACAAATATCAACATGACTAAGGTTACAAGTAACTCAACAGCACATTTAGATATATGAAAATCACATTGACAAAGATCATTTTGGTCAACACAAGTGAGTAGTCAAAAAGTTCATGGAAATGCATATTATGAAAACACTATATACATGGATTCCAAAACATTTTTTGTAACAAAGTCAACTCATACTTTAATTCCATTTTTACATGAACTTTTTGAAGTTTATCTTATACTAAAAGCAGAACTAACCTTATCTTCCACTCTAAAAGCCTGTGGTATTAATACATAATTTTGTGAAGGGTGAATAGGAGGGACAAAGGGAAGAAACAAGAGACAAAAGAATGTAAAGTTCTCTATTGAAAAGAACTATGTTTGAAAATAAATTTTAAAAATAAAACAAAAACATAATTGTGTAAGAATATAGGTTCTTAAAAAAAAATAATAAGCCCTTCTCTTACCTCCAGAAAATATAGTTAAAAAATCTCATCATAGTCTTAAGGAGATTCTAAAAATTAAACTCTTTGGTGAATAATAGCTGATTCAGGAACCAGCAGTTGGCATAATGGCTATGTCGCTGGACTCCCATGTTGCCAACCACAGTTCAAGTCCCGGACCCCATGGCTTAATCTCAAGCCAGGCACGTGTGCGTGTGTGCTGAAGATCCTGAGAGGAGAATGGACGAGAAGGGACTGTGTTGTGGCCATCCCTCCTGGGGGGGTGATTTCTCACTTTCTGTCTCTCTGCCTCTCTCTGTCTTTCTGGCAAGCACATGTACCCTATAGCAAAAAACTCTCAAAAAAAATAATAATAATAGCTGATTCAGAACAAACTGTGAGCTGATTGGACTATTTGAAGTAATTCTCCAAAGTGACAACATACTGTCTTTTACAAAAGCATTTTTTTCTTCCATCAACGACTATTAGATTTTGGTATCAGAAAAACCGTTACACATTTTCCAGGTTTGTAACAAAGTTGTTTAAAACTCTCTTCATCAGAAGGTTTTTTTCCTCCTTTATTTGTCAAAGTATTTCACAGTGTTATTTTAAGGTGTCAAGGTAATGCCTCAAGAGTTTCTAGATCACTGTGTAGAATTTGGGTAGAATGTGCTTTTAAATTGTCAATCAAGTATTTATTGAACCCCAACTCTGCCCAGCATCAAGCTTAGCCAAGCTGGGGACATCAGAATATTCTAAGACACGACCCCTAGTCTCAGTGACACTGTCTCTTAAACAGGAAGCTATGCTTTTCATTCTGCTGGGAATATCGAAATTCTGGCCTCAGGAGCCTCACCTCAGTAATGCAGTTGTCTTCCAATTGGCCTCTAATCTCTAGTCTTGTACTAACTAGTCCCTCTGTCAGCATGACCTGTCCTAGGTGCCCCCAGCTTTTGAATCTGCTCCCTGTAAACCACAGGTGAACACTTCCCATCCCCTCTGTCAGAACAGGCCACGACAGGTAGGATTCACAAGAGCAGGACTTTTTTTTTTCTTTCTTTCTTTCTTTCTTTCTTTCTTTCTTTTTTTTAAGA